GTTTTGTACGTTTTAGAAAAAAAATAACTTTTGCTTCTTATATAAGTAAAAACTGTTTAGTCTTTCTTATTGATTTACCTCTGGGAATTCACTATGACGGTATTTTGGCTACTTTTCCCCAGGATGCATTATATCTCGCAAAATCTCGCATCACATGATAACTTGCGGAAACACAATTGCGCCGATACTGATTTTAACTGTGAGACGTCACAGTCTCTTCTCCATCTTAAATTTAGCTCCATGAAACAAGTAATATCATGCAACCAAATTTAATAAGTGAGTGTATACTAATGAATGTATGTGCATTTATTGATATTTTATCTCACCTTCTTGACATAAAGAAAGACATATATTTTATAGCTTCCTACACAATCAATCTAAAATAAATTCTGTATAAACCAAAGAAAGACAAAAATACCTTTTTCCAATAAAGAATGCTTTTTAATAGGGAACATTTGCATAAGAATTAACAGAAAAAGCGAAGAAATAGAAACAAACTACATGTACCAGTGCAAATTTTGTTGTTTTTCTTTTATAATTATCGGATAAATTTACCCCACCCACTTTGACAAACTATAAGACCTACAGTTTTTATGGTTTTCTTACATGTTAACAACAAACCCCTATTTTTAATTGAATGACAAATAAGAAATAAAGTAACTTTTTTTTATTTTGCATATAGATTTAGGAAACCAAATTAGAGAAATATTCGAAAAATGAGATTTTTTTCTTGATATCTTTAAAGATATTTTTTAGACATAAACTTAAAAAACTTTACTTTTATTATGATTTACATATGATTTGATAATTTCTGATATGTTGAAACACTTTTTTATCGAAATAAACATAATCTGTGCTTTAAATTATACTATAGAAATTATAAAACAAGTTTGCATAAAATTGGCGGCCATATTGGACGCCATCTTGGATTGACCAGAGGTATGAAAGCGGAATTTTGTAAAATTTGAATTTTTGTAAAGGAGACACTTTATACATGTTATGGTGTAAGTTTCAGGTCGTTACAAAAATTTTAACCGAATGAGCTATTAATGTACTTCAAATTTATATGGCGGCCATTTTGAAAATGGCGGCCATCTTGAATGAGCAGAGATATTTTTGGGCCAACTTCACTTTTGAAATCTACGTGGTCTAAAGAGGATTTCCTGAAAGTTTCATGCTTGTATCACCATTTGCACTATTTTCTCAATTTCCCGCCCCACTACATGATAAGAGTAAATGAATGTAATGTGCTCGTTTGCAGTTGTATCTAAAGTTTCACCGTACTCTATCTTAACGTTGTTATAGAGGATTGTTGTTGGAAATTGAATGATGCTTCAGCCGGTGCTACAGGGTAGTGACAGATGCTGCATTTATTGTTATTTTTTGCACCCTACCAAGGAATTGCCTCTTTAAGAATAATTTTATTTTGAAACCAAAACAATGGTAATTTTGGTGATTTATTTGAAGCAACGTTGATGATTACATACTTAGACAAATGTTTTTTTAAAAGACAAATATGGCTGATCTGCCTATATATCAAGTCCATCAATTTCGATTTAGTTCCTTTTTTTTAGATTTGACACGGAAGCTTCTGCTTTTGAAGTTAATAAAACAAGCACGTAATTTCCCCATTATTTTGTCATTAAACTTTAATTAAAACTTGAAATTAGATTTTGCCATACAATCGACTTTTATAGTTTTAATCAGGGCTGTTTATAATATGTACGTTCCTAATTTAATGTAGATAAAAACTAAAAAGGAATGATTAGATTTTATTTTACATCGAAAATATGATTAGGTACTGATTGGATAAAAGAAAAAGCTGTTGTTTTCTTGTAAAGAATAATCTTTTGGACGGATGGCTAAAGGATAAATTATTCTTCAAAATGAAGAAACTTTTTATAGGGTCATCTCTTAAATGCTTTGGTATAATAATTAACAAAACAAACGTGAAGATTGACATGATTATAATTTTCTAACTTAACAGCTTTTTGTTACGTTTTAGGTGTACATGTATGAAACTTTTGGTTATAAAGAAATTCTTTAGCTCAAACTCAGATATCATGTATTTAATTGGTCTGAAACTGGCACAGAATGTAAAAGGACCACTGGAAATCCTGAGATTTGAGACTGAACTCAGGAAAATGTTTTTATAACCTCGAGGCCTGGTACCATTATTTCAAGTTAATGTTTATGTAGAATTGGGCAGTGTTGGGGAACAATTCCGGTGCCCGCTTGTTATTAATAACCTGTTAATATAGAAACATTAGTGCTTATTTTTAACAATTATTTGTGGGAGTATTCGGTTTTGGCCAAGTCAGCTGCTCGATCATTTTAACAAATTTACCCGCCAATATTGATATAAGCAGACGTTCCTCTTTGTTAGCTATGTGTTTGAAAATAGTCTCTAAACAGACAGGTGGAATGTCGAGAAACTAGTGAATGTGTAATTTTAATGTAAGGACATATGTCCTATCCTACTTTTCATAGAAAATTCGTTGGCAAAGACACGTCTCTGTACTTTCATCAGCCTCAGACATGTGTGTTATAATAAACAAAGTGATATGATGATAAGATTGCAAAATTAGATGTCTACGTACACAAGAGATAGAGAGAGCATTTCTTTTCGTCTGGTCGGCCGCAAATTATTTATCTTGTAAGATTAATATTTTATTATGAATAAGGAATCACGTTGTTTGTGAAAATAGACTTATTTAGTATTATGGCAAATAAGATTGTTATTATGTCTAGGATTAACAATGATGTGTCGTTTCGGGAATTGCCGGTATGGTATTTTCTTTTCGTTCAATGTAGTAATTTCGCTAATTTCATTATTTGAATCATTACGAGAATTGAAATCTTGCGGAAAGGATACGTCCGCAGCGGCTGTGTTTTTGTTTATGTCTGGATATAAAAAACAGTCAAATGATCCTGAGGGAAGTGATATGAATACTGAAACTTAGTTAATACAACTTATAAAATGATTATTAATTTATAAAACATAAATGAAATATATTTAGAAAAACAAAGTCAGAAAAATAAGTTATTACAAGAAAGATATTCGCTATATGCTTAATATCTATGAATCTAACAAAGAATCAGCGTTACAGAATTAATGATGTTGTAACTTATTGGTCTATTAATTTGACAAAATATTAACAATGAAAAATAATCACAATATCATAACGGTACCTATTTCAAATATAGAAGAGAAGTCCCGGACTTTTTTTGCGGAAAATTTGGTCTGAAGGAATGATATTGACAACACAAATAAACATTTGTTCATTCCACTCGTAGGCATGTGGTTTCATAAGCAAAAATATAAGTCCGAGAAGGTGCCGCAACGGCCATGTTTAAAATCGTTGACTGGTTTTCAATTTTAAAACATGACGGAAACATTCCATATGCAATTTGACAGTAGGTAATCCTGTAAAATGTCAGTTTGGAGATAATAAATTGAAACAAAGCTATAGAAGTAAGTAAAAATATAGATGAACTCGTTTTCTATATACACAAAATAATCACTCCAGATCATTTAAACTAATTCGTTCTTTCTTTTTTATTGCCTGTGAAACCATATGCGTATGATACCACTTATAACTTGAATTTAAAATGATTAAAGTAATCTTTGAAGTATATTATCAAGAAGCCATTTATACGTTAAATTGTTTTTTAGAAATGTTGATGATATTTTATTTATAACTTATCTATATGCTTAAAATTACGTTGTAATGGATAGCAATTAAATGTTTGCGAAATCGTTAACATAGCATTAAGTGACAAATGCAATTAAAGAGATATGTTTTGTGAATATAAAATCATCATAGAAGTACTTTACTGGTGAGAAAAAAAAAATGTTTGAACATATTTAATACACATCAATAAGTTGCGAAAACAAACCGAATAAAAGACAAGATGTCTGTATTTGATGCATGTATTATTAATATACTGGCTTTAACTGGAAAATACACGACCAAACTGGCTTTTTAAGTATTTTTCTCTTTTATAAGAATCAATTCCCGACATCGACGTGCAAACGATTGATGTTTATTATCAAGCGCAAGACGCGACCAAGGTTGTTTAGGCACTGATTTAATTTGCAGATATCTCAAATAATCATAGCGCATCGATCTTGAAAGACATTCTGCTACTGATGATGCTGCACTTGTTTAATTAATGCTTCCGTTTTTAAATTGCTTAAATTAAAGATGGTAATTCAGAACAAAAAAAAGATCTCAGGCTGTTTTCTCTAACGTAAATGTTTGTCATTTGCAGATAAGCGTGAATTAATTAGTTTACGGTCGGTCGGTAACAGTTTAAATGGAAGTCGTCATCATTTTCTTGAAATTAGCAGAATTTGCATATTAAATATGAACAATTCTGTATCGTCCTTTATAATATGAGCCGCGTCACGACAAAACCAACATAATGGGTTTGCGACCAGCATGGATCCAGACCAGCCTGCACATCCGCGCAGTGTGATCAGGATCCATGCTGTATATAACAAGTAAAGAAAGTGATAGCGAACAGCATGGATCCTGATCAGACTGTTGGTTTTGTCGTGACGCGGCTCAAATATCTTATAAGCTTCTTTCTATGCTAGATTATTAATTCAGTTTTGCATACTTTCCTCTTTCATGATTTCATTTTTGCATGATTCATTGTCCGGACGCGGCCATGTTTCATACCTGTAGATGATGTTTAATCGCGAATGATTAGTTTTCGGTAATTGCTAAAGTCCATTTAGCCACGAGCGGACACGTGAGTAGACCTTCGACGTTTTGTTAACTACCCACCGTACTTACATAGTCGTTGGTTCTACTCAGGTATCCACTTGTGCCTGAAATAATGCACGGAGGGGCAATAGGGTCACCTCCCACCAGTAAAGCTGGAAAGTCATTTATGTCGATGTGACTTTCAACCCATCAAAAACAAACAAAAAATCAGCTAATTCTGTTTCGTTTGTTTAATATTTTACATGAATTTTCTATTATTTCCAGGTGAGATGTCCTTAGGATACAAAATGTTCAACTAATTGAAACAAATACCTGAGTGGAATGACTTGCTGCCCAATAAACGGAATGCCACAGTTGCTAGAAGAAAACAATAACACATTGAAACCAATATATTCCACCAAAAGTAGTGCATATGGTGGTCGCCAAATCAGGAAAGTTAGCGACAGCGAATATTGTCGCGAGGTTTCTATAGGTAAAGCCCCGGATACATTCCCGTGCGGACACGTTCTTTGTCACAAATGTATCCGCAAGAGCATGTCACCGTCGAAAGACTCTAAACTAGCGTGTCCGTTATGCGGTAAGGAAGCTAACCGAATATTCACCGCTGATCCCGGCGATTCTATGGGATATAATATAGATGACGTGGACAATATAACATTGTTATCAAACTTTGATGATATCGTGAAAAAGTTTGATGGACTTAAATTTTCAATACGGCGATTGCGCCAAGAGTCCGTGCAGAGTCGGAGTTTAGCCATGACTTTCACAAATTGTGGGTGTCACATGTGTGATGAAAATCACGGCACACTGCAGGTGCTACAAGAGTTTAACCAATTAAGAGTGAGTCACATACGTCCCCAGTTGCCAGCACCCTATTTCTACAGGTATGTTATTTTTATCGCTTACATTTAAAGGTATGTCTTTTGAAATAAAATCATAACACGTACGTACGCCAAGATATAGGCTTGATTGAAATATTTAGTCGAAACCTTGACACTTTTTATTCAATAAGTATTTGATTGCATTCACAACTAGAATATAAAGACACCAGACAAATTTGTAGTTTTACATTCTAACCAATTTGTGACCGGTACAATTTTCAAGTTGCAGACATTGTATAAAGAAATGATCTTTGCAGGAGGCATTCAGATAGGTCATATTTTAGATTAATTCCTATATTAATTCTGTAATGTCCTGGCATGAAGCTTGGATTTATTGTCTCCTGTTCTTTGATTGTCAAGCCCATTTATATGGCTTAAAGAAGACAAATGAGTTTTTGTTCTCTACACACACACCGGCAAAATATACTTTTTTATAGACCATAATCCTTTTGCAATATCATAATGATACGCCCACCATTTGTTTTATCTATTTCATTAATATAAAGCAAACGGTGCATTTTTTAATTTTGGAGGAGAAATATTCTATTTACTACAATAATGATAAAGGAGGAAAACACTTATAATGTTAGATTTACTCATCACGTGTCAATTTCGTTTGGCAAAGAGTTTGTTATGAAAGTTCTCAAACTTCATCAAATATCTATTCAATTCAATAAAAATGCAAACAACAAATAAATTAATTTGTTCTTTTTAATATCTGACGGCAAGTAAAGCATTTGTAATTAAGTAGTTTTTTTTTCTCAGAAGAGATTTATTGGTATTATCTTTTTTCGTCTATAGTTACGTCATTCTTTTTTGTGTAATATATCACTGATTAAACAGCGTAATGAATGGACAGTCGAGCCTTTTTGGTAATACATCCTAATCCTGTTAACATCATATATTATATATATTTATTCTAGCATTATAAGGCGTTTTCATTTGCAATAATATTAACGACGTTGACACAATTCGGTCGTTATTTTTGCTGTTTTGTTTTTATTTTTATACTTACATTTATAAATTGTTGCAAAGTCAGCTCTTTTTTTCTAATTCCATATGTAAATGTGACATTTAGAACAAAGGAAAATTATTCTTTATTTTGAAATATATGGACTGAATATATCGCTTTGGCGACCTAGATTACTACAAGTTCGTCTGCGTTATCTTCTAAACGCTTGGATTATTAAAGCGTTCACTTTCATCTGGATGAAGGATCTTCTTTAAATGACGAGAGGAAACAAATAATTGATTTGTGTATATGAAATTATTAAGCAGTCAAATGGCCCCTAGCATCGGCTTAAAAATCTCAATATCTAAATATAAAATGGTATTTATTTTAAATGCAAGACATATTGGCAATTTAGAAAAAAAGTTATTCTTAAGAAAAGAAACAAGGTAGCAATAATTTCTAATAAATTCAATATTTTTAAAAACACGAACTATAAGTATCACATATATTTTCTGTTTTGACGGTTGGTTCTTACTGTGCATTTTCCAGATACATCTTAATTAAGCTTGTGTATGATAATTGTTCTTTCTATCATTTCAGACTGTGTCATGGTGAGGTTGTGACGTCATTCTACAGCGTCGTCAATTCGTGTTGTATCTGTGTTCCCTGTACATATAAAGAACTTCGTGAAAGTAAACATTTTCCAACTTTGAAATCTTTATCGGACGATGAAGCTATAACTAATCCAAAATCCATTTTAACGGAAGTCGGTAAAATAATTGCGAAAAACACCGCCCCTCTAGAATCTCTACACGGTAAAAACGTCATAGAAGTAGATCACGTGATAAAACTTCAAGAAAGAGCAGACGATTTCAAATTCTTAGCAGCAACTGAACGGATTAAAAATATGGTGAATGAACAGGAACAAAACTTAATAAAGCATGCATCTTACATGGTGCAGGACAAAGGCGGATTAGTTCATATCAAAAGTAAAAGTTCAATCGAGCAGAACAAGAATGAGACGGTGATTGTGTGAAACTTAGCTGTTGATTATTCAAAAAGAAGGGATTATATTTTCATAACAAAAGTGTTCCTTCCACAAACGACTTAAATGACTGTGATTCCGATACAAATAACAGCGTAGTAAAAGGGACTATTTAATAAAAGAAGTTATTTTTAGAATTGTTCGTGTCACATGACATGCGCGTGATGTGATGATAAAGGAATGGACTATTATTATGAATATACATGTATATATAACTCACTATAAGGAAAAGTATGAAATGTGTAAAGGTATCGGATTGCGGATCAAGTGCAAATGAAGGTCTTGAAATAAAGATGGAAAGAAGTTAAAAATAAAATTGGCGTGATACTTTTTTACATGAAAATAAATTTAACTATCCATAAATAATGAAATCCTAGAAAATAAGAGTGAGTTGATTATGGGATATGACAGAAAATACCGGGATGTTATTAACTGATCGTCCTTTTGATGAATTACAAAATTTGTCTCGGATTATTTATTATCATTTTTCAAAAAGATTTGAATGGTGTTTTTTTTTTTTTTTTTTTTTTTTTTTTTTTTTTTTTTTGGGGGGGGGGGGGGTATATTTATAATGTATGTGCTACTCTATAAGATAACTTCATATATTCTGTAACTATGCCGACTATCAAAGATACTCTCAGAACAATATCAACAACAAAAAATTGATAACTGTCATTCAGGACTTTAGATAATGAAGTCTCAGGTTTGTAGGAGAAAAAACAGAATTTAAAAGTCATATTTAGATTTGCTTTTTGCTTCATAAAATATTCTGTATTGTCCATTGGTATGACATCATCTGTGTTAACAAAGCCTATATCAAATTTAATTCATTAGCATAATATAATTTTGTTATGTTTTCCGATGTGGTAATCTCTATGTTCCTTGTACAGTGTAACCTCTGCAGAGCGACTCTCTCTCTCTCTCTCTGTACAAGAATAACCTCTTTACAACAACAGTATCCTGTCTTTCTTGCAAATTCATGGTAAATGTCATCTTTCTAAAGCAATACTTGTCAGGAACAAGCTAATTACTTGTCTCTCGAAGGTTTGAGCTCTGCAAAGATTGCATTGTACTTGGCGGTGGTGTCGTCTAAGCATACGATTATTACCAGTTGATTATAATTAAAAAATGACTACTATATATGTTTATTGTTGAAGTAATCCGATGCTTAAAAGGTTTTGACATTCAAATGCTTTTTCGATGTTTGCAAGAAACCTTATACTCATTGCAAATGCCAGACTGTATGATCAAGCATTTTTTGTTGTTGATCGTTTGATATCAATTCTAACCAAGATATCGCTGTTATCAGGAACTATATTAATTATATATAAACGATTTCCCCCATAGAATTCTGATAACGCTGTTTAACTGCTAAAATCCTTAAAACAATTTATTAAGCATTGAATTTTTTTTTAAAACAACAGCACCAGTAAGTTTTTTTATCGGTTTCATGGTTACATTACCTTGGTTCATTGATTGATACAAACGTAGCATATGGAAAATCAATGCAATGGCGACATTTAGCATGACTGCTTTTGAAAATGTCAAACATGTAAAATATGCAGAAATAAGTCGTTCTTTTCTACTTCATATAGACAAAAGTATTCCTAAAAGTCATGTAGATGGGTTGCTACAGATTGCATGTCGAAAAGGAAAGAAACTTCAACATACTAGTATTAAAAAGATCTTATTAGAAATAAGTTAAATGAAAATCCCCAGTTGTGATTTAGATAGGAAAATAGAGAGATTTCATTTAAAACTTTGTTGTTTTTGTTATTGATTTTAAGACATGTAAGAAACATTAATAAAGTGAAGAAAAAAGTGAAGTAAGAAAAAAATCTGATCTCATTAATCACCTTTATTCATTATCCCGATTAATATCCTAAAACGACTTACCTATCTTTAAATTTGGATAAAAACGTTTATTATTTTAAGAGACAATTTAATTTTGAAATATGTACTGTCTAAATAGCGAACAATCCTGTGATTTGACAGCACAAAACGGCTGTGCTTGCTGATGTTGGTCAGTTTTGGTCGCAATGGTAGAATGAGTTGCCACCAGGAGCCTATGGGTTTAATGCATTTCTCAGGTGACTACTTGAAATTCAAATGACCTATGTAGTATAATACATTACTTGTATTATTTACAATTTAATTAATTAGTGTCACATAAACATCAGTTCCACTCTGTAGCTTTAGTTTAAATTACTATCTACGTTACCGTAACAATGTGATCATTTTTTAAAAAAAACAATAAGCCTTGTAAACAAACAATCATTTTTAAAAACTGATAATAAATTTATGACACAATCACATCTTTTCATTACTTTAGAAATGTCAAATTCTGGGGACGTTTTTATAGAAAGTTCTGAACGGTGTGTCAAAATGATTCAATTAAAAAAAAGACAACATCTCATTACAGAAACTTTTCAGCGACATAGAATAATAAAGAAAGAGCAAACCTATGTCATTTGTCACTCTATTCTTACGTTGCTTTTTGGTATCAGTTCAAACTTTTACTTCATGTCATTTTTTAAGGAAAAACTATAATTTCCTCAAAGATTTAAGGCTATTTTTTTATAATCAAATGTGTTGCCTGTAAAAATCTAGGCAATAGGAATTCCTGTTAAGAATTCAGATGCAAAGATATAAAGAGCATGATGTTCATATTACATGTTATGCATGCATGACAAATGTATTAGTTCAATATAATTTTGTCTCATTTTTTTCTTTTGTTATGATCTTAGTCAATTTAGCTTTTTGCTGTAAATTGTGTTCAAATTTTAATAACCAAGGGAACGTATATCACTTAGATGTAGATTTTAGTTTTTCATAACAATATTAACAATTTTAAATGCTTATGTATAGGCTTTAGAGATGACACTATTAAGTGCTATATCCTGGTGCTAATTAAAATTATTTAGTTGTTTAAACTTTGGGTAATATGATTCATTTGCTTTCATTTACTAATTTAGCTGTTTCGGATATATTCGGCTTGATTAACCGGATTTTTGATAGGATTTAACTCAATACAGGATTGGAGCAGTACCTCTAGACGCTTGCAGAAATCATGATCACAAAATTGACAAATATGTTTTGTTTTTTTTCGCCGAATTTCACATTTTTCATTCCTTATCGTATATAAATCGGTTTGAAACGATGAATTAGACGTTTTAAACTTCATTCCGTAAGGTGAAAAGGCGAGATTTTACCAATTAATTATTCAAGCGTCTTGTCTGGTATGTACCGGAATACGGTATTTAGTGTGGTGCTCCAATCCTTTTTTTTAGTCTCACTCTTTTTGATAGAACCGAGTCCATTAAAATGAGGATACTTAAATAGCACGGTTTATTACTTACAATACGGGCAACTAACAACAATTAAAGTCGGTTAACTAAGAATACTTTCATTGAGCTTTTTTGTTAACTTTTGTTTATTTATGTGTAATTTTTGTTACTTTGTTACATGTATTTTAGGCACTCAAATATGCTTTTGTTGTTTCTTGTTTTGTTATTTTTATATATTTTTGTTCCAATTTTAACTTAAATTTTACATTATATACTAAGCTTAAACTTTATTTTGTTTTATATGCTAGAAGACGGATGTTTAGGTTAAGATGTTGAACTGTTTGTCTCACAGAATTGCCTTGTTGATCACACAGTCGATTCTGTTAAAAGAAGTATTTATGATGTTTTTGAAAAACAAATATACTCAGCTGAGCGTGTGGCGTTATTATGTTATTTTTTGTTTCCATAGTAACCATGTGTGCATGTGCTCTGACAGATCTAAAAGCAATGACCTAGACTAAAAAAATATGATGTACAAAGCAAAAACAAAATATAAAGTACCAAGGTTTTACAACATACATAAAATATACACAGTTTAATATTTTCCACCATGATGTTTATTCACACTTAGGTATTATGTTACCACGACAAGTCGTGACAATGTTGTGTGCTGAAATTCATTTCAAAGTTAAAACTGGCATTTTTGTGATTTAAATAAAGTAACTTGTATCAGTTAGACGCCTAGATACTAGGAAACACATGTTTTTAAAATAATGGTTGATATATCATGACTGTCTAGAACTTAATGCTCCTGGCGTGTTGATTTTATTTGCCTGGAGACAACATAAAAATCTCATCTTCTAGAATTTAATCACAAAATGCTCGAAATTTTCGACTTTTCGCTTTGTCACTAAGAGAGGGATTTAAAACATAAAAGTGAATTCCTACCTAGATTTAATTAAAGTTTTAGCTGGGCGTGATAAAACTTGACTTTTGATATACCTCAAAGCTTCTTTGAGTGAATATATTTAATTTAAAGACAAAAGCAAACCAATGAACATATCAAGACATGCAGATTTTAATGGGTGCAACCTCAATTTTAATTACATTCCTAATGTAATTTTCTGAAATGTCGGTGCTATATACTGATATAACCTTTAGAACTTACCCTGTAAAGAAGAAGCTTGTGAGATTGTCTTAATGTGATGAGCAATTTGTGTATGGAACTCGGATTCGTTGTTATAATTAAAAAAAGAATTGTTCTTGATAAAATGTAAGTAACTATCTGTCATCAACATTAAACATTAACAATATAATAATTATCATTTAAAATAAGGTTGACTGCGTGGTTTACAATAGTATGATTACGAAGTTTGTTCAGAGCATGAATTTAACAACCCTGCATATGCTTTAAGAAAACAAAATTTTGGGTTTACTTACCTGCTCAAAGGCCTTGATGTTTGTACATTCTTGTTATTAAGTAAAACGCAATCTAATATTCAGTTGATGTAGATGGAACAAATATGAAAATGATGAGACTTTCAGGAAAAAAAAAAACACATTAATACTTCATTCGTTGAAAAATCAAACACAAATCCTCTCCAAGATAATCTTTTATACAACCTTGTGTAAATTGTAGTATAATTTTGCATCACAGACTTTCTTTTTATCATTTTGGTACAATAACATTTCTTTTTATTTATTTCAAATTTTCATCTATATTTGAAGGGATGTTTTGTTTCAACTGTTGTCGTTGTTTTCTTTTCTTTTTCCCCCTCCTTTGACTTCTTTGGATTTGAGCGCTTCTGT